TGCTTTACCCTTGCTCTGGGAGTTCTAGCTTCCAGTCCGTGCTCCAAAGACTATGCATTTTATCCAATGGCTCTCTCATATAAAGGAAGCAAGTAAGTTAACTCCACAATTCACTGTTGAGACAAGTGGAATAAAATATGGGAGAAGCTATGATCCCAGCACTCCCCACCCCCTGCTAATTTTTTTAAGTTCCTTATTTCTTATAAAATATTAAGTTACCTGTACTTTGTGAAAAAACAAAATGACAACTTTTTAGTTCATGTTAAAAGAGAAAAGGACTTTAAATATCTCTGCATTTATTGTGATATTTTTCCATGTTTTTCAGAAATTTGACTCTGTACAGGAAATCATTGACTTCTACAAATGCATCCCCATCACACTTATTGATGGAAAGGATCAATCAGGAACCCAGAAAGAACAATGTTACCTTACACAATCTTTCAAGTTGGACAGAAGATGCTTCTTACCTTAACATTTTCAATTTGTTTCCATAAATTTAAAAATAACAACACTTTGTTATTTATAAACTGTATAAAAGTTTGGAGATTAGGCCTTGAGTTCAACATAAATACAGGAGATCTAAACCTTAGGAAGACAGCTGTCTTCTGTTACATGAGACTTCTCAAATATAAAACCATTGATCTGCTTGGAATTTGCTGATTACTATGAACGATGTTGTGTACAAAAGTTTGGAGCATTATTGCATATGCCAATAAATGCCATTGTACAGTAACAGCATGAAAAGTTATTAAAAGAGGATAATGTCTAAACAAGATATATTCTTTCTTGTTAACAACTTAGCAGCACACTGATTTATCTTTTATAGTTCCTCTTGGCATGAAAAAACCCACATTAGTTACCAGAAAAGTCATATGAGAGATCACATTAGGAACACAAACTAATAGCATGCAATGGAACAAAGCAACATTTCATCTATCTGAATACTTATTGTTTAACCATTCACTATTGGTACAGTATACATTAGAGGCGTGTGAAACAGGCTGTATTCGATTCAGATTCAGCCTGAATCCAAAAAAGCATGTCAATACATGCGAAAACATGCTACCCCCCCTTCCCCAACAGCCTCTAGTCTTTTTGTTCTCTGAAACTAATTGCAGGAAAAAAATTGGATCACAGTCCTGAATTAAGTGTTTGAGATGAGAAACTTCCTGAATGAAAAAATAACCCAAAAACAAAGCAAAATTAAAAGGGAATCATCTGGACAGAGTTTGGATGTCCTCAACAAAAGAAAAAAAAAAGGCAGGACAGAATCTGCTTTCAGATATCTATAAGCATCATACAATTAAATTTACTAACAGTTTTCATGTTAAAATAAAAGCATTTATATTTTTAAATTAAATGCAAAGAGAATACAGTTACATGTAGTTTAACAACTCTAACTCTTCTAGGTCACTGGTATACAAAGCCTTTGCATTTGTTTAGTAAATTATACAGAGAGACATAACATTACTACAGTACTTAAACCATCTAAAATAAACTTATGATGCTAAGCACCAACACAGGTTTTTACAACATAGGGTTCATCAAATAAGTTCAAATTTTGCCTGCAACATCTTTTAAACCAGGATGTCCAACCTGTGTGCAAAAAGTGGCAAAGGCAAACTCTGTCTGTGGCACATGGCAGATTGGTTGGGGACAGGCAGCACAATGGTAGATGGGACAGGGAACACAGGGCAGGAAGCAGAAACCTGAGCAGCAGATTGGATAAGGGAAAAAGATCAGAGTGGCATTCAGGAAGGGGGCGGGGCTAATTTGTGGCATGCCTGACAGACAAGTTGATATCCACTGTCTTAAAGTGAAAATTCATAACTGTTACCTTAGCACCTTCTACAGAAACTAAAGTAGGTTCAGTCAACAGCCTGGATGGAATAAGTCTAATGCATGGATCAAATTCAGCCATGAACAGTTTTCTTCATATGTTAACATTTTCAATATGTACTACAATGTAATATGCAAGGATTTAGAAATGGAAAACTATTTTCATCATTTAAAATGCAAATTATGTTCTTAAGTTTGGCCTCAAAGTACATAAAGTGAAAAGAAAAACCTTTAGTGTAACCAGCTAAAAAAATAATTCAATTTTTAATACAAAATGAAAATTGACATTTAGTTATTACCAACTAAACAGCCAGACAAAAATTTGTTCAGTGGGCAGCTTAGCCTACAGAACAAAAGCTGCAATGTTATTTTATGTTGTATACACATCTGATTTCTGAAAGCACCAAGTGTCTAAAGAATATTAATACTGTATTGCAAAATGGTTTAATGAAAAAATGTTGTACATGTTCTTGTAAATTAAATTTAAGTAACAAGATGTGCTTTTAGCTTCAAGATATTTACATTTCAATAGATAAAGTACATACCTTATCAAAACAATGTTTACTGTTTTGGAGTATAAAAACAGAACAAAAATATTTCCAGCCTAGTTAAATTCTTTACAAAATGTGATAACAGTGAAAAACAATTAAGAACTACAGGCATATTCAGGTAGCAGTCCAAGTTCAAATGCATCATATATATCCAGCATAAAAATCAGTACTGATTTTTTTAACCTGTAAAAATGTAAGAACCAATTTTGATTGCAAGTATGTGCTTACTTCAGCATCACCTCTTCCAAATGAAATTTTAAAAGGCCAGCTTCTGTTTTGTTATAAAATAACAAAGAAAATTCTGTACACAAAGATCCAATTATTAAACTTCAGTACCCATCCTTCCTCATTCCCTACTCTAATCTCAATCTATGTCCCTGATTCAGCAAGGTATTTGGGATAACTTGTGTGCTTATTAACTTAAATAACACACTGCAGTCAAAGGGACTATGTACATGCCTGATTATGTATATGCTCAAATATCTTCTGACATGAGGCTTACATAAGTAGATTCCAATGACATGCAAATCCAAAAAAAAAATTGGAATTAAATAATAAAAAAAGTCTACTGCAAATCCAGACAGAAGCTACCAATGCAGAGATGGTTAATATGATTTCTTTTTCAAAAGATCAGTTTGTTTCCTACATGTGCACTAGCTAGCCGGCTGATACTCTGTCAGAACATGGAATCTTGCAAACTAAGGGACTATGAATAACAAAGAATGGTGTGCCCTTTAGTGCTTGCAAGATCAGGTCCTCTCTCATTACATCTGGATACAACCCATTAGTTTCAGAGTGGCCATGTTTACACCACTGCCCTGCCAAGCCCCGATTCATTCCCCGATTAATTCCTGCTACTCACACATCTCTTCTATGCCCAAGAATTAGGCAACAGGGAGGGTTTAAAGGGATCCACAGCATTTCACTCAGAACCTATAAACCACCTATGTTGTATAATTGACAGGTTTGTGTGTGTGGGAAGCATGAGTACCTGGGTGGGGCTCATTTCTCATTAGCAGTCCAGGACTTGGCAGGGAGGGGCATCAAACACAGTTCTAAGCCAGCATGGAATCTAAACTGCCCTGTTTGTACAGAATAAAAAGGTGGTATAAATAGTTCTCAATGACCTTCTGCTGTACTACAAAAATTAGCTTTATCATTGTCATTCTACTTAGTTAATGTAGTTCTGATCTCACAAAATTCCTAATTTTAAGATCATGAATATTTTTTTATTTTTTTTTGCTACATGGCATCTTGTATGTGTCACCAAACTGACATACTTTTTGTTCACAGAGGATCAAAGTGCTTTTCACGAGAGGCCAAAATTCTGAACCAGTAAACTCTAATAACAAAATTGGACTGTGAGGCAGGGCACTGTTGGTGCCTGCCACTTAAGGGCCTGGAGCGGGCAGCTGCCAGGTGCCTAATGAGGGCAGCCATTTTAGATTCAGGGCTGCCCGTATAAACAGGGCAGTTCGGCTGCTGGAAGCCAGGGCAACAACACTGCCAGGCTGGAGGGCTGCAGAGCTACATCTGGAGATAAGGGAGGAGCTGTAGGGGATGGATAGGAGGCTCCTGGTCTTGGGCATGACCTAAAACTGTACCCTGCTGGGAGTGGGTGGCCTGGTGGGGCTCCCAGTGGGGCGGGAGCCCCCAGGAAATGCTAGGCCAGTTACCACCCCGGTGAAAGGCGGGTCGGGGCACCTTAACCCCTAGCCCCCACCACCGGGTCAGTAACCCCTTTGTTTGTAGGACCCAGAGGGCAGACCCCTGGAGAGAGTGAGGGGCTAGAGACTCAGACCTGATCAAGAGAGTACCCCGACTGGCCCATGCTGGGGCCAGGACCAGGATGGTCAGAAGGGCCAGGGGCCCACCACAAGGGATGCCCAAGAGCTGAGGGCCTGGGGTCCCAACTGGCCTGGAGGTGGGCCAGGGCTGGTAGCCAAAGGTCCTGGGGGGACCACACCTGAGAGGGGAAAATGGTTTCAGGGAGCTAGATAGCCAAATGAAAGCGGGGTAGCTGCCTGAATGGAGGGATCTTGGAGGGGTCCTGATAGGATTCTGGGGCCCAGTGTGGGGCCGGTGATGATAAGAACACCTAGATACCACATGCGAGGCTTGAGCTGTGGTGCAGGGAAGGAAAAGGAGCCGCAGATAGCACCCCCGGCATCTAGCACCTGCCAGAGAATGGGCAGCCTCCCACCGAATTAACATCCCTATTAATCAATTAACATCAAGGCATGGCAGGCGAGAACACGGGCGGTTGGCCCAGGAACAGGTGGGCGGGTAACAGAGATCAGCACCGAGACGACCTCCTGTTACTGACTGATTAAATCAATTTGACATATGTCACATAATTTGAGATTTTAACCCACAGTGACCTAACGCAAATCTAGCATTATAGTGCAGCAAATGGTCACTGGAAAGATGCTTGCGTAGTATATCATTTTAAAGGAAATGCTCTCAAAAAGCTAGAAGAGGGCCTCTTGAAGCAAAAGAATGTTCTGTAGTGCTGAATACTTGCCACTGGCTTCGCATGCTGTTTATAATCTCTATTCTCATTCCCCATCTGGCCAAAAATAAAAAGCTTTTGCTAAAATAAATTATTTAATTCTGCATTTTTTTCCTAACAAATTAATAGCACTCATGTTAAACTAAGAGAAATAATAGCCAGTTTCTCACTTGTGGCTTTTTAGTGGAAGAGAAAGAACATCCCAACCTTTAGTAGCTTCTATTAAGTGCCTCTGTCCATGACACATCCATTCTTCCTGGTCGACATATATTCTTCCACAAAACCAACACTTAAACATACACTTCAGTGTTTCAGCTGGTGAAGTTTCCACTACTTGGTAGTTGTTTTTATGGGTCTTCTTTAGCTTCATTTTTAACATGTTAGGCTTTTTCACTTGGCTTAACGTTTCAACATCCTGAAGTGTAAGCCGCCTATGATGTCGTTTCACTCCAAGACAACTACTTGTTCTTTCTGACAAAACTACTTTCAGAACATGGCCTTTATACTTGTTGATGGTCTTCATTACATTAATTACCTCTAGTGAATCAACATCAGGATGGTTTAACACAACTACAGGCTGGTTACGACGAGGACATTTTATCAACTGATCCACTCTAAGAGGTACAAGCCTTAGACGTCTTGCTGTCAAAAGAGGGGTCATCTCAGAACTGTAACTGGTTTCTGATGGGATTCTTGTTTTCTTCTTAGAAATATAATCCCTGGAACCCGCTTGTTTTACCTTATTTTTTGGTGCAAGTTGACTCTTTGAATTAGGTTTGCTCTGCTTGATTAGGTTATTATTCTTTTGATGCAACAACATACAATTTTGTTTGCTACTAGTTTTTGTCTGCACCTCTCTTTTTGATCTAAGTGTTATATTTCTGGACTGTTCTTTAAGTTCATTCTCTTTTGCCAAAGTAGGTGGATTTCTGCTTAGTTTCTCTGAAATGCTGAAAGGAACCGGCCTTGGTAAGAACATTTCTTTGCAGTATATAGAAGGAGGTGATGTTTTATCTTTATTTTCTACTTCTTTAGGGCTCTTGCTGCTGGTGGTATTCAGCACTCTAAGAACTGTCCCTTTTGGAATAAACACTGGGGTAGCAACATGCGAGTTTTTAGTAACCCTACTTTTAGGAGTTTTTGTAGTTGTCAGTGGCTGTTCTATATTACACTCTTCATTATTAATCTCACCCTTCGATAATGCTTGAAGTGAAGATGAAGATTGTTCCAATTCAGTAGTGGGGACATTTTTTTCACAGTTTGCTGAAGTTTCCTGAGGCAAAGGCATCTTGTCATTGGAAGCATGACATCTAACAGGCCTAGGTGAAGCAGCCAACGTAGATTTCACGTGGGATTCAGCAGCAGACATCAACTGAGCAATCTTTCTACATAACAAAGCTGTTGACTTTTTATTCCGTGAATTCCTGTCCCATCTGATGCCCTCTGGGATGTTTTCAGCACCAGAGCTAAGTGAAAATACAGATGAAATAACAGGACCCTCTAAACAGCTATCTTCATTTTCAACTTTCTGTAATTCTAAAGATTCCAAAAGGAGATTGTTCATTTGACCTTTAGAATCGACTCTTTTTACACTACTTAAGCCAACATTTAAATCCTCCAATGATACAGTTTTACCCATGGGTGATTTTTTCCCTGCTTCAGAAGATGTAAGAGGCTCTTTAACAAAATTGTTGTCATTGAACAGACATATTTCTGGAGAGCTGGAGAACTGAGTCCTACATTTTTTATCATTGCTATTTAAAGGCAACATGTTCTTTTCTCCAAGGACAAGGCATGAGGAATTTCTCTTCTCCCGAGAAGCCTGTAACAAAACATTCTGGGTTGTTTTATCTTCAGAAGCAGCAGCATGTAGACCTATAGACGTATTCAGGCTCTCATAACAGTGCAAATCATGACTTAACACACATTTTTCATCAGTTAACTTATTTGAAGATCTGGGGCAGCTGCTTTCACTATTATTAGTTACCAGGGATTGAATAGAAAGTTTTGGGATACCTGTTTTAAATTCAGCACCTTTCCCCGAATCTTTCACCATATCACAAGTTAGCCTTAATTTGCCTTCCCTACGCATATTTGAGTTGCAATCTAAAACATGAGAATTAGACAGATTAAGACGTTCAGAATTCTTGTTGCATTTATCTGAAGCAAGCAGATTAGCAACATGATCTAATCTGTCTTCATTTGCTTCTGTAGTCAATAATTTGTTTTCAGCCACTGACATATTTTTATTTCCTTTGGATATTTGTTCTAGATCTTGGTTCACAAGTTCCTCTTCATCACAGTTCATAGATTTATTAGTTGTTTCTTCCAGAGGGATAAGTTTAAGAACCAACTGCTGCGTGCCATTCACTATTTTCATCTCTAGTAACTGAGCTAAACAATTTGAAGGAACAACCAGTTCTGAAGGTGCAATTACTGTTAATGGCATTCCAGGTTGTACAGGCTTCTTTTTTGGAGAATAAACTTCAACTTCCACATTCGGATTCTCATATATGTTCACTTCAGCTGGCCCCAATAAGCTTTTATCTTGGACTGATGCTGTATCTATGTTACATTTTATATCATCAGACAAACTAACTGTTTTGGCCAATTCTGTGCGAATCTTACCACAAGCTGCACTTGATGACAAATTTGAAAACTCATTTGGAAGAAGTACTTTTTTATCACATCTCTGCTTTATAGGTAAAGTGCCTTGCTTTGGCAAGCAAGACCTCTTTTGCTCACGCTTTACAGCCATATTTGTTAGTCGACTCCTAGTGATTTTTTCATGTACTCTTCTGGTATGTTTTACTATATAATCATGTCGAATGGCACCATATTCACAGTATTCACATTGATATGGAAAAATTCCAGTGTGTTTTACCAGGTGCCGCTGGAATTCTCCTTTAGTGTAGGATACATAATTACAGTGGGAACAAAGAAACTTAATCTCCTCATGTTGAGCTACGTGCTTTTTATACTGCAAAGGATCCTTTGTTGAAAATCGACATTTATCACAGTAATATTTACCTGGCTGAAAGTTTTTTACTTTAAACGTTTTTTGGATTTTACTTGAAGATGGTTTACCTTGCTTTTTTAAGTCTGTGGCACTGACATTATCAGATACCAAATTGAAAGTTGGTGGACTGCACTTGTTACAGATAAAATTTCTGTCTTCAGTCCTCTTAAGCTTGTCACACTTTTGCAATCCATGCACTGAAAATTTTTGCACACTTCTGCATTTTATACAACCTACCAATGTCAGTTTATCATCTTCTGCTTCAGTCCCTTGGTAACAATTTTGGCCTTCATTCCTTTTTGGAGGATTTGTTTTATCCTCGGTAACTTTCTTCAGGGATGTAGTCAAGGAATTGCTTTTGTCATTAACAGGGCTGGCATATAATTTTGGCAAAATTTCCCTCATTTTCTTCAGCTGCATTTCAGAAGAAGTGGCCTGTTGCCACATAAATCAAACATAGCAACAGGAGATAAAATTATTTTCTTGGTGGTAGTATTTCAAATGTTTATTAGCTATTATTTAAGCAACTTCTCTGAAGAGCATTAATTTTATCTTTATGAGGAAATGCTGCTGTAAGTTCTGCATTCAAAAGATTCTGTATTTTCACTTCTTTGCTCAATTCTGTCAGCTTGAAGCACTAAAAAATAGAAACAAAAGATCAGTTCAGTTATTGAAACACACTTCCAAATGTTTTGGTAATCCATCGTAATAATCTGCAGAAAGAAAAAAAATCTGACTTGAAATACCGCTTGTAAATCTATGATATTTTAGCACTGCTAGTGGAATCACATACTGACAATGGGTATTATCTGTATGTTGTAAAACTTGAACAATATTCTAAGCTAGTTTCTCCATGCTATGCATTACTTTATATTCTTTTAAACTAGGAGTATTTAATCAAACAAGAAATCTGGCAGTCAGCTGAGAGCAAAAGCGATGCATTCTCATGTTGAGTTTTTATTTTTTGAGATGTCCTTAACTACCACATTTTGCAGTTAGCCAAATCCTCAAGTACACTATTACACTTAAATGAAATTTTCTGATAGTCAGTGCTAATGTTTCTCATTAAAATAAATTTGGATAATAGTTCATAAAAAAAACTAGGACAAAGCTTCCAGTTTGCCTAATACTAGCAATGATGCAAACAAACCCATTTCTGTACAAAAAAGCTTATTTCTTGCGATGCAGTAGTGATCAAAGATTTGCATTAAGATCAGTCTACTGTCTTAGTTAATGCACAGACATATGTCATCTGCCCAGAAAAAAGTGAGAATGCAGTTTGAAAACACAAGATGCAACAAAAGATGCAATGTGATGCTGCAGCTAGTAAAGCGAGCAAAACGCTAGCTTGCATCCATAGATGCTTCTCAAGCAAATCCCAGGACGTCATTCTCCCCTTATACTCTGCCTTGGTGAGGCTACAGCTGGAGTACTGCGTTCAGTTTTGGGCTCCACAATTCAAAAACGATGTGGAGAAGCTTGAGAGAGTCCAGAGAAGAGCCACACGCATGATCAGAGGTCAGGAAAACAGACCTTACGACGACAGGCTGAGAGCCATGGGGCTCTTTAGCCTGGAAAAGCGCAGGCTCAGGGGTGATCTGATGGCCACCTATAAGTTTATCAGGGGTGACCACCAGTACCTGGGGGAAATGTTTGTTCACCAGAGTGTCCCAAGGGATGACGAGGTTGAACGGTTATAAACTACTGCAAGACCGATTCAGGCTGGACATAAGGAAGGATTTCTTTACTGTCCGAGCCCCCATGGTATGGAACAGCCTGCCATTGGAGGTGGTTCAAGCACCTACATTGAATACCTTCAAGAGCAAATTGGATTCTTATCTTGCTGGGATCCTATGACCCCAGCTGACTTCCTGCCCTTCGAGCCGGGGGCTGGACTCGATGATCTTCCGAGGTCCCTTCCAGCCCTAATGTCTATGAAAAGAACACAACAAACAGTAGGCTGGAAGGCAGAAGGAAGAAAAATAGAAGGCACCAACCATTGGTTGTTGAAGACTATTTCAGAATATTTTCAAATTTTTCCATAGTTTTATATTAAAGTGGTACCTGACCTACAACAGGCATTGCCTAGCTAAATGTGTAAAAAGTTCTTCAAGAGCATTCATAAAAACTAAGTAAACATCATTGATAGTGTCCGTCTATGGATTCCACAAACATTTAAAACCCACTCATCTTCCCTGGGTGTGCATTTTTAAATATGTGGATCCCGCTGCATAGAGGTACCTGTCTAGGTAGACTGCACATGCATATACAAGGAAAGAGGCATTTTTAGGTGACATTACATTACAATGCATTGTCTGCGAGACAGGTCCTACTCACAAATCTACTAAATTACCTTCTCCCTGCTTACATATAGGTAATATTTGGTTTGCCATTCCATAAGCACAGTGCAGCAACTACTTTAAAATATTCTCATCTGCTAATGTCCATCTTCAGATTTTTTACATCATGATAAAAGGCTTTACAGCAACTTGACTTTGGTGGGACTAAGACTTTTCCTACAAATGCCCTAGGGATGGCTCCTTTAAGCATACATTTCTCTTTGAGATAGTACATTGCTTCTGTGGAATGCTGCTGAGAAAAGACAGTGATTCTCAAAGCACTGAAAGGGCTTTAAAGATACCAGCAAGTGCACAGATCTCATCAAATTCAGATGGAACCAAGGCAAATCTGAGTAATGTATTGTAATACACTCCCTTGGTTCATTCCAATTAGCAGCTGGGTTGCTATATACTGAATAAAATGGTAGAGTGCATTGTATGGATCAAAACAAGCTGTAATTATATGTTCTCAAAGGGGGACAGATGACACTGCCATTTTTTACAAATGGGAACTTGGCTAGTCTCCTATTCAATCACCAAGGATTTCTAGCTGCCACTGAGTCATCTGAATAACTGAGATTTATTTATGATTGAAAAAAAAAAGAATTTACTTGTTAACTGCCTTCAATAAAGAATGAAGTGAAAATTCCTAAAAGGTCTATCTAGATTCTTTTCTCTTGCTGCTAATAGTGCCTTTGTCTTACCCAAGCTGCAGCCAAGTCAACTACTTTTCATCCAAATCTCTATTTCTTCTAAGCTCAGAAACAGAAGGTCTTCTGCTGCATTTCAGGATAAAGAAGAATGCAAAGAGTCTATTTGATTTTTCTCAAAACTAAAGGGATGAATCCAGGCCACAGATTACTTCAACAATGGCTTGAATTGTTTAGAATGTAACTGCAAGTTCACAAGGCGGCAAAAATAAAATTAATAATTAAACAGATGCATAATCTTTTCACAATTTTAAAAAATGGCAAAGAGAGTAACAGAACATCATATACACTGACCTGCAGACATGACATGTACTACACTTAGGCTTCCTGTGACTTGATCACAAAATGTTAGAATTACAAGAAAGAGTATTTTATGCTGTTTAAAACAACAGGAAGATAAATACCAAAAATATGGAAGAACAGGACTAAAAAGGTACATTAATTGGAGCAGTATTTAGTAAACCAACAAGAGAAGCTCTTGAAATATGTTTTCAAGAAAAATGTCAGCCATTTTAAAAGGACTGATCAAGCAGACATTTCAAATAAGCTGTCCAGTTTAAAATGTAGTATGTTTGATTCAGCAGAAACCTTCTTAGAGCATTTCAGAAGACCTTCTCCTTTGAGTTTCTCAACCAAGGAGATATTACATTTAGGAGAAGAAATCCTATATATAGATGTATGTAAAATCTCAAGCTTTCAGTAAACTTACATTAGAATCCAGATAATGAAACGGATTGAAAAAGAGTGAATAATCAGGCGGTGTTGTAGCAGAAAGCCCCCTTTGTACATTTTCCTTCTGGACATGGATATAACAGAAGCCCCTTCTTGCCTGCACCCTCCTACTCCCACCTGACCCCCATTTTGTGCCAACACTTAGAAGGAAAAGAAATGCAGAGGCCTAGCACACTCATTGCATGGGTGTCGCAAGACAGAGCAAGCCAGAAAGCTGAAGTGGCTTTCTGTAGGAGAAACCTAGACACTACATCTATATATCAATTAAGCTCAGTGTCACTAAAAAAAACCCAAAACTAAAATATCCACTGCAAAGACTGTAAATATATCCTGGTGCTAACCTAACTCGCTTACTGTCCCCAGTAGCCTTTGATCCTCACCATCTCACATTGCATTTTTATATATTTCTCACAATACATTTTCATGTTTCATCTGCCTCATCTTTACCATGGCAGTTTGTATTTTATATTTTATACTTTTAAACTCTTAAGGAATGTACTCCCCGTAGAATGAAGTTACACCCTGGACCACTGTTAAAACCACATTGAAATTGTAACTGTAAAGTGATAAAATCTGTTGAGTGAATGCAAGTGAATGATGATCATCAGTAGACAATAGTGTAGACAAAGGAACTCCCATTTTAAGCTAATCAAGCTAAGGAACTTATTCCTGGAACTGAGCACTCACCCTATGGACTATTCCTGTAACTCATGACAATATAGCCATTAAGTCAATAAGTTATGGGTGGACTCCCGGAACTTCAGGTACCAGCAGGCAGAGATCCCTGTGACTAACAGCTGTCAGGTAGTACTCAAGACCCACGTGGGACACGACCTCCAGCTTGGGTAGCCAAGATGATGCTGGGGGATCACACATGTCTGCCAGAAAGGGATAAAAGGCAGTGAAGCGTGACCCTCAGTAGCACCCTCTCATCTAGCACCTGACCTACTGAGACAGAATGACAAGCATTTGCCCCCACTTCTGGAGAAGACGTCACCTTGAAGGAAGCTGACCATTGAGAGCAGACTCCAGGGCCTCAGATACATAGATAAACTGACACCAGTTGTCACAACCACTACACACTATATTACATGGTGTAACACGCACACACACACACTAAGGTGACTAGTACCACCCATACATAACTCAAAGTTTGCATTTATGATTTTATTGGTAACTTCAGATCCCATCAAATGAACTAGAGTTTACTATGATTCCATGCGTTGGTCCTATGTAGCTAATGATGTCTTGATGATGCATCTTTTCATTTTTTGCCAACTCCAACTAGTGGTCTCCCCCCCACGTTTGGACATTCCAACTGGAAAGGTTTTGATGTGAGGGGTTCTATTTTGAGCAACTTTTAGCTATAAGCACATATTTTTTTCTAAGAGCTAATCCTCAGTAAAGAATGCGCAGCTCAAAGGCAGCACTGTGAACCTCATTAGTGGAGTGATTCTCAACCCAAGTACCATCAAGTCCTGGAGTGCCACAAGATTCTTTTAAGAGTGCTGTGGGATGCCAGGCAATATCATTACTCTTAGATGTGCAAACACCTGCCTGATTCACCAGACAAACCTAGATATTTCCAATAGGAAGTCATAGGGTCAAACATTGTTATTTGTTATGGTCTTTCTGACTGCTTTGCAACAGAAGAGTTGTTCTCTTATTTCTGTAGTCGAGTGAAAGCTAAGAGCTAGCATTTTCCAAGGGATGTCTCGAGTCTAAGGAGGAGTGCCTTGAGTCTTAAAAAAGTTAAGAACTACTGATTTAGTGGAATCAAATGGTAAACAAGTGTTAGGATAATTAAAGAACCAAATGGAAGAAAATCCTGAAAATGTTAAAATGACCTAGAATGCTGTTTTCAGTTCTACTGCCTATGTTTAAAAGATGTAGGGGGAAAAAAAAAACAAGAAGAAATAATTTGATGATAAGCAACAAAAATTATTAGAATAAAGACAAGATGCCTGCATTAAAAGGAACTGAAAAAAAGGCTTATTTTTGACAGAAAGTGAAAAAGGAATACACACAAGAATATAAAATAATGAATAATACAGAGAAAGTGAAATGGGCATTCCTCATTCTTATGTCATAAGTTAAATATTCAGTGCAATTGTAAAGCAACACTTTAAAATTATGTAGTAAATACTCCTGCCTACTCACTACATGATATCATACCTTCAATGATAAGAGTCACATATATCAGTGAGGTCAAGAAACACAAGATGTCAGCTTTGCAATGGCACGTACACATTGGAAGGCTTAGGTTAACCCCATTCCATTAGAGGTTAGAAAGAAATTGTTTCTACATCCAGGTTATTCCAGAATCACCCAGCACAGGCTTTCCTGCATCAGATGCTGAAGTATCTGGTACTGGCAACTGATCTAAATGAGACACTGGCAATTCTTATGTTCTTAAAACTTCTACTTAATTCAATGGTGCCAAAATTAGGCCCATTATAAAAAGGCAATGTTCCCTTTTTAGTGTATGGAATCTCTTTATTTTAAATGCATGTTATTAATAATGTCTTGCAGTGTGATTTTGCCATATTCAGTTTTACAACACCACCGAAGCAAATAAGATACAATTGTAACAAAATGTATGACAGGTCATATTCCCTAGACTTGCAGATTAAATGGGATGATTAAATTAGTATTACAAATCCAAGATAAGAGAAAAGTACAAGAGAAAAAGGATTTGGATGACATCAGATGCCACTGTATAAGAGGGATATACACTGCACTGCATCTTTAAGAGAAAAATATTGGTTTCATTTTTATTTTAAGTGATTGTATCTGAAATTGACATCTATATAATAATCTGGTTAAGAATCATTTGTGTGTCACTGAAGTGTCTCCATTAACCAGCGTTTCCATTAATGCTGGCCCAATTTACTAGCCATTACCATTCACTAATGTCAGATTAAATGTGTCAACTGTGATACATTTCAAGAAAGGGCTTCTCCTGAGTACTGCAGAACAATCGATAATATACTGCAGAGTAAGCCACTAAATTAAGTCAAAAGGACAATACACAATTAATTTATTTCAAAGAGGAGACTTAATTTCCAAATGATTATTAATCATGTTGTCCCAACAGCTACTGTACTTAAAGCTCAATAAAACGTTTTTCCTCTCACAATAATCACACATACACACACGATTAAAGACAGCAAAGGACCATGTATCAAGTTTTCAAAGCTTGCCTTTATTATAAAATGCACACAATTATTTCACATTTTGACTTCATGTAGAAAGTTCCCACTTTAATTATACCCAGAAAAAAACCTTACTGCAACTTACTATAATATAAAATTATGCAAAATATCTTGTTAAAGACAAGTTATAGTTATTGCTGTAAAATAATTTTCACATATTTTATTCAGTGAGAACATTAAGTTAAAAACAAGCTTTCAGTATACTGTGAAGTAGCCAAGAGCCCTGATTCTGCATTGAGAGAAAGAAAATGGAGAAAGAGATCATATGGTTTAGTGAAGGACTGTGTCATCAGTTTATTTATATCTTAAATGTACAGAATTCTGTGACTTCTCTCAAGTAGAAAGTTACACAGTAGTCCTGTTATGAATTCAAAGTGCTTACTATTGATGGCCTTTACAGTGGTCTTTTGAAGAGTACTTGAATATGCAGGTGTCTGAGACACACCTACGTTTGCTTATAACTGGAAATATAATATAACCTGCTTTTAACATTAGAATTCATAGTATTCTATCTAAGGCACTTTTATAACCTTTAAACTATATACTTATTAATAGTCAAGACATATTTAACCAGAATTCAATACTGTACTAAATTTAGGAGCTGTACATTTAAAGGCAAATAAGCATATATCAATGAAGTACGGCACAGAGGAACATGAATATAGAGGAGGAAGGACATCCTACTTATAAATGCATATTCATGTATCCTGGGCCCTAATCCTGAAAGCATTTATACCTGTACCTAGTTTGCAATTATGTATAACACTACAGATTTCAACACCTTCTAAAATTTGCCTATTTTGCATGCATCTTTTGGTCCTTTTAGCCCAAACAAACCAGATGTCTAGAACAGAATAAATCTGCAATATTTATGAACGTTGGATGAGGCAGTCTTCTCTGTAACTGTGTGGACACTGGATACTGAAAATATATCTCAGGATATTTACTCTAAACTTCTGATAAGGTAGCATCATTTCACTCAAAACATTAATTATAAATCACTACATGTGAGTAAAAACTTCTCAGCTCTACAACTGCCTTAGGAGACTTCATTTTGAAATATTGAAATTCCAGACAGAGAAAGATTTAATTTAGATAAACTGACTGCAGTTCTGCCCTGACAGTGATGATATTTATCTGTGTATTAATAAAGCAGGTTGAATCTTCCCAGGTAACTGAACTAATGGCCAAAGCTTCTCTTTTTCTGAAGAACTGACAGGGATGTAAATTTAGGAGGACAGAGTGGCTTTCCAGTGGAAACACAGTGGGAGAAACAAACTGCAGAGGCATGACTAACTATGCACAATGGCTAGGCAGCAATAAATGGGACCCAAAAATAAACTTCTTCACAGCTACGGTGTCCAGACTGTGGAATAAGTTCCCTACAGAGGTGGTGCAATCGCTTACCCTGGAAATCTTCAAGAGGAGACTAGACAGTCACCTTGCTGGGGTCACCTGACCCCTAGTTATCTTTCCCGCTTGGTGCAGGGGGCTGGACCCAATGATCTTCCAAGGTCCCTTCCAGCCCCTTACAACCTATGAATCTATGAATGAAAATCCCTGGAGATTTCAACTGGATGTGCCAATGCTCCTGCTAGGACCACAGCCGGAGGTTGCTCGCTAGAGGGTCTTGCCCCTCCAATCAGAACGAGACGGATCACCACGCTCGGGGTCAGGATGGAACCTTACCCGGTGCTCAGACTGGTCAGACTGGGGGGGATTCTGCCTTCCTCGGTGGCGAGGGCCGGCCCTCTCCCAGGCATCCCTCTAGCATGTATCAACACCTTTGGTTAAGAGCAGAGGTTGGCTGCCCTGGTCTCCCCGCTTTACCTGCAGCAGGTTAGGGTGCTCGGCCTTGTGTTGCGTCAGGGCTGACGGTAGTATTAGGAAGAGATTAGGCTGTGCGTTATACCGGAGGGTTTAGCTGGACACGGCCCTGCCTCAGGCAGCGGGATGATCTCCGGAGGCGCCTTCTGGCCCCGCTTCTCTACGACTCCGTGATCCAGCCTCGAGCAGGGGGCTGGACGAGGCCCCTTGCAGTCCATCTGCTGCCCGAAGCTATGGCAGAGGTCACTGTCACTGCTGCAGGGTCCAACGGAGCTCCCTACCCCCGACGGCGCCCCCGCTCGGGAGGGCGCGGCTCTGGCTCTCTCTCAACGCCGGTGAGGGCGTTGCGGTCTGTGCAGAGACGCCGCCGGCCGCAAGAGGCAGCACCGCCCGGCCGGGCCTGTCCCGCGCCCCCGCTG